ATATATATATATATATATATATATATATATATATATATATATATATATATATATATATATATATATATATATATATATATATATATACATACTGTACGTGCATGAATATTTGTACATACATTAAACATTATAAACTTCTATTATTTTTGCATAAGTGAATATAACAGATGCTATACAAGTTGATTGGTCAAATTTGACGTATTAAGCTGTTATATATTCACTATATATACTGCAGGTGAATATATAACAAAACCGAAATTTACAAAATGGCGGCTAGCCATTTTGTGGAAGTTACTGATAAAGAAATAAGCGAAATTAAAATAAATTCAGTTAAAAAATACAAAATACTTTTGTAAAAATACTAAAACAATCCGCTGATCTTTGCCTTTGGCTGATCAGTCTGTCCGGCTCTCAGAACAGAGACAGCCGCGAGTGCATTATATACGAGATTAGCTATTATATTTGTCACTATCCATGATCGCGCTGTGATATATTTTCATGTGATATATTTTCATAAAACCTGCATGCATGCACAAATAACTTACCCTCATAATATATAATCACATCATCAGTTCAAAAGCATGCAAGCCTTGTTTTGACCATGACTTGACAAACGTCAAATAGCCGTACAATGAATATACAATGTCTGATAATAGAAAACAAAATGTCAACTTATATTGAGTCAAGCGACAGTTCTGAGAAACATTGCATGTTCTGTGAATCTTTCACTAAGGCCACGGTAAAACGAACTTTTCATGTGCTGAACCTAATGCAAATGAAGTGAAACAAAGAACTTAAGTTCGACGTTTGACCCTGGCCTGAGTTCATGCATCAACAAAATTATATATGAACTACAATTTGTATTCCAAGAACATCTATACACGAGGTTCTCATTCCGCAATATTGCGGAATCAGAATGAGAACCTTAGTTGTTCTTGAAATACAAATATGAATTAAAATGTAGAACAGCGTTTCCCCCATTATTTGGACATAAATTTAAGGCCTTTTAAGCAGTTTCACGGTGTCATTGCCAGGAAATCCGTTGCAAAATCTGATACTGGCTATATATACATGCAGGACATGGCAAACACCCCCGAAACAATCGCAGCAACTAATTTCGGAGTGACGGGTGGGATACCGGGCCTCACAACAACCGAGGGAAAGCTGCAGGGAGATACGAGGAAGAACCAGGGGCCACGAAACCATGATTAAGTGGAAGTAGTTTAGACGAAGCAAGAGCATCTTCATAACTTAGGTTGGGAGTGATAATCCTTAGAGAACGTTTTTGGATTCTTTCAATATATTGACTTAGTGATAACGTTAGACCTTCAATTAGTTCAATATATGTTCTCAATATATAGCAGGGTGATATAGTACCCTGCATGGGTAACGAATCTCGTTTTTGTGACTTTACTTTGGTTTTAGTTATGGGTGACATTATACCGAAATCTATATATGTTTATAATATATCTAAGACTATATGTGAAGGATTATATTACTTCGTCTTCGGCACGATATCAAGACAAAGGTTCCAAAGTCAAAGACAATATCGAAAGCACGAAAACAGGGTAGGTCAACTATAGCTTTATGAATTATGGTCTTATACAGGGACTACCCCTAAGCTGCATGGGGCTTACATACCCAAGGTGAAGCCAAAATGAATATATTATAGTCTATATACCTTCAGGCTTCAGTCAAAACAGTTATTGAAGCTTTGTTGGAATTCAATCATGGTTAAGTTTATAACTCGTATACGGGTTCTTAAAAACCATGAGTCGTATTTTCATTTTGCAAAATTGTGACTTGTGTACTTGAAAGTCTTTTGTTTTCAAAAACAGTATTCTAGAATTCAATATTGTGCATTGCATTTATATATAGAATAAAGAAAAGGTTATATACTCGCTTTCATTTTCCTTTCCTATAAAAGCAAAACTGAAATACCTGGGTTTCCTATTTCTTGTTGCAAAAACCCCTGATAGGGTAACTCCGTGATTTCGATTCAGTGACGGGACATACATTGCATTGACTTAATTAAAAAAATGTCCTCCCCGTCACATAAATTACACTACTTATTACTTGAGAAAGTGGGAAACATTAGAAATAGAGAAACTAGATCCAATAGAAACAAATTTTATAACTTTAAAAGTAGCACTAATCGTTTTAAGAACAGTCCACTAGTCTATGCTATTGATAAATACAATAATAATATGTAATGTTCTTACCTGCAGATGTAAATAGATATAGTTTTATTAACATTTTAATAGATTAGTAGTAGTACCTATGTAAATACATGACAATCTTATCCCATGTACAGGGTTGGATTTATAGGGTGTGTGTGGTGTGCACAGGGGTGCGACCCCTGTTGGCCTTGGTCAACAGGGGTGCAAGGGGGGTGCAAAAAAAAATCAAATTCAGGAAAATGGCACAATTTCCAAGGTTTTTCCTTTTTTTAGTGAAGTCATACTGAAGCTCATAATTCAATGCCCATATCGCAGGAAATGGCATTTCTTGAGTTCTAATTTTCAAAATGTTCTGGAGGGCATACCCCTGGACCGCCTAGGGAGCTTGCACCTTCGGCGCTCAAGTCGTTAGGAAGCCAATACATTTGAATGCTCTCCCATGCACCACCCCCTGAAGAATTATAAAGAAACACACGGCTGCTCACCCAGCATGACCCCCCCCCCCTAGAAAAACCTTGCTGGATCCACCCCTGTCCATGTATACTATTAAAACCCAGTATTATTATGAGTTGAGATAATACAAACTCGAATCTTGAAATACCGAGAAGTGTGTTGAAAACGAGTCGGCATATACAGTTCGGGAATTTGTATACATTTATATACCCCTTTGAGAAGTTCGGGGAATTTGTCGGGTGTTAGTAGACAGCCGTATAACTGCGTAATGCCTAATGGCGTAATGAGCCATACTCTTTTCAAAGCCATACTCTTTAAATGTCTAGCTTTTACGATGTTTTCTAAGCTAATATATTATGCCATCTTGGTTTGCTCTGAAAATCGGCAAAAGGCAATTTTCCCTGATCGTTCGTACAAACGCCATATAATAATAATAATAATAATGATTTATTGGTAAATATATCCACTGAGTGGCTCTTCGCTTACCAAATTATATAAATTATAAAGTATTCATAAAGTCTATAAACTATTTTACGAATATTACTGCAATATAACTTTGAATATATAACGTGTTCGACAGGACAAAATATTATTTACAAAATTACGAATTAACTAAGTTAGAACAAAACTGTACGAAACTATATATACATTTAAATATTTCTTTCTAAGATTATCCAAGTCTTGACCATGCTTTCAAGACTAAGAAATTTTTGGTCTCATTGTAGAATACTCTGTAGTCTCTGCAGTTCCTAATTTCTTCTGGTAATTGGTTAAAAAGATGTGCTGATTGGTCCTGTAATGTGTTCTTAATTAAAGGGACTTGAAGCTGAGAGCCTTTGCTTGATCTCAGAACTCGAGAATGTTGAACCAATTGTAGTTTTTGGTAACTTGGCCAATTTTCATCGTGAAGCGCTTTGTAACTTAATTTTAGAACGTTCCATTCACGCTGTTCCTTGATAGGCAACCAATTTAACGATAATACGTCAGCTGATCTAGCGAATTTACCGCTATCACGAAACTATCTGCTGCTTTCTGTACCCTTTGTAGGCGTTTCTGTAAGTAGTCTGGCAGTGAATGGTAAATTACGTCGTTATAGTATAGTTTTGATAAGACAAGAGCCTGTACTAAGTTCTTACAGATTTTGAATGGTAAACAGTTTTTTAGTTTTCTGAGCGTGGAGTAACAGGATGAGGCGATGTTTTTAACATTCTCTTGTCATTTAAGGTGTTCGTGAATGTAAGACTCTAGTAATTTTGTGGATTTAACTCGCTCTACGTGTGTGCCATTGATTTCGATATTGATGGAGGCATCATTCAGAGAATGGGAGGAAGCCAGTTGTGCGGTGGACAGCATCATGACTGTGGTCATTGATGGGTTGATGACCAGGTTGGCTTTACTCGACCATTCTTCCAGCTTGCGAACACTTGACTGCATATCAACTACAGCATCTTGGAGATTCTCGGGTTTGCAATGAGCGTAAAGGGTTGTGTCGTCGTTTTATGCCATATATAATGTCATATATTATGTTATAATAATGCCAAATATTCCATCAAGAGTACGTTATGCACACCAGTTCACACCAATGACATGCACCATCAAGCGTTATGACTTATGCACATGCACCAGTGGCAGTGCAGGCTTAGCGCTCATGGATTTAACACGCCGTTTTAGTTTGTTGAGTTTGAATTTACCCTTGTGCCAAATTTGTTTTATTCTACTTTGTATTCCTTATCATCTATAGAGCTGAATCTGAGGAAATTGATCTCTATGCGTATTTTTTAGGCATTACAATTGAAAACTTTAGAGTATAGCTTTGAAAATCAAGAATTTGACGCCGTTACGCTGTTTACTAACACCCGACTTTGTCTACATTTACATAGCCATTTGAGAAGTTCGGGGAATTGTATACATTTATAGCCATTTGAGAAGTTCGGGGAATTTGTATACATTTGTAGCCATTTGACAAGTTCGGGGAATTTGTTACATTTATAGCCATTTGAGAAGTTCGGGGAATTTGTATATATTTATAGCCATTTGAGAATTTCGGGGAATTTGTATACATTTATAGCCATTTGAGAAGTTCGGGGAATTTGTATACATTTCAGTCGAGAAGTTCGAGGAATTTGACAGATATGTATATAAACTTGCAAAAAGCTATATCAGTATTATAGGACATTTAAGCGGTTCCCTTGTTTTTCTCCCCTGTTTCGAGTTAACGCCAGTTACGTATAGTAAGGTTTAAGCTAAAAACGGCATTTCTGGCAATTTTGCAGTGGTGTATATTTTTCCACGTTTTGGAGCAGTTATAACTCGAAAGGGGCTTGGAAATCCCATCTAAGCATTAAAATGTCTATATTCAATTTTTTACAAGCTTTCTATATTGATGCGGGTTATGTTTGCTATTTAGTAGTGGACTTGAAATTAGTAGTGGACTTGAAATTTGTAGTATATTTGAAGGACACTAGTTCATTAACATTTTATTCGCATTGACTTACACTTAATACTAGTACATTTACCGTACAATAGTAGTTGTCCAGATGTGTTTCCAGTTCCACGTTTGTTTATGGTCAACATATAACATTGTATTACTATTATTTATTATAATTAGAGTGCCACTAACCCGAAATATGATTTCTGGTGTCAAAGGAAAATGAATTTGCAATTCATCTATTGACATCATATCCGGTAACTTCTACAGTGAAAAAAATTGATCAAGATAAGCTTTTTTACCATAAAGATATTTATACATTCCTTCATATAGAATGACTCGAATATTACAGAAAATCTTATTTGGGGTTAGTGGCACTCTAAGGTATATATGGTTTATTAGAGAGCTTAAGCAATTAAGCTACGTTTTTGACAACACGGACGTCACGCGTACATAATTTAAACGTTAACTGTGGCGCCAACAGTTCGTGTTTGAAATGAAGAACGACATGCAGTCAATGCCATGGATTATGTATGTACAGATGCTTAACTTCAGGAAAAAAGTTGTCCCACGGCAACCTCGTACCCAGGGCCTTTGCGCGGTTCAGAGGCTCTATACCAGAGCCTCTGAATCGCGCAAAGGCTCTGGGTAATAAGTCGGTGTCGCTCGCGTGATAATTCGTCATTTGGTAATACGTCATTGCTTTCAAAAATGCTTTCAACACCTTTTCTGCAACTTTAATTGACCATTTGCGTAATAGACTAAATTTTGATCTAAACAAGTCTAGACAACAATTTCATCACAGCTTGAAGTAGCATCACAAAATTAGTAATATTCCAAAGTTTCGTTGCAAAATGTTGTAAAATGCGGATAATATAGCTTTGCGAAGTTTGCAATTTTCAGTCATTTTAGATTACAAACGGGAAATTGACAGCCCCAGACCCTTCGAGGCTGTCAATTTCGCGTTTGTAATCTAAAATGACTGAAAATTGCAAACTTCGCAAGGCTATATTTTCCGCATTTTACAACATTTCGCAACGAAACTTCGGAATATTACTAACTTTGTGATGCTCTTTCAAGCTGTGCTGAAATTTTTGTTGAGATCAAAATTTATTCTATTACGCAAATGGTCAATTGCTTTCAACAACTTTAAACATTCAACAATGATGCTCTTGATTGTTTAAACCATAAATTTCGATCCAAAAAAGCCGCAATAAAATGCAAAAGTTCGTGTTTTTCAGGACGCCATTTTGCTAGCAAGAATCATGGCGTGGGCATTACGTGTACATCTAGGGAAATTTGAGGACACGAAGATTTCAAACAAGAACAGCTGTCGCAATCTACAACGGCTAGACTTACTTCCGGTCGGCGTTCTCACAGAATAAAGACATACAGAAGTGTATCTTCTTATTAAAAGTGCGTAAGGGATTTTTTCAGTCCGCCATGTTCTTAGCAAGTGCCCTAAAGAGAGGCAGTCACCCCCCTGAAAACATATTGAAAATTTAATATTCCAGGGGGGTGAATGCCTCTCTTTAGGGCACTTGCTAAGAACATGGCCGCCAGCTATTTCGGTAAAAATTTTAAAAAGCGCCTTACGGTTTTGTAATGGAAGTTACACTTCTGTATGTCTTTATTCTGTGGCGTTCTTGAATCAAAAACGTCGCTTGCTTCAGCTCTCTATTATTATAACGCACAATCTATTTGTATTGCAGCATGATTTTCTTAATATGAAACATCATCATGCAGTCAAAACCCGTTCATATGTTATGTGTAGATGAAGGCCCAATGGTTGATTTTCTGTGGCCATAAACAACTTGAATTCCATCTGATTTGGTCCCAGGCTCTTGTAAACACGTTCAGTCTACAATATGTTAAAACCGATGGTTATAACCATGGAATATTATACGGGAAGAAATAATAAAACGTATTATTCGTTCCACGAGCTTGGTTGAAATATCTAACAATAAAAAAAATATAAAAAATATTCTTCCGTCGACGTTTCGAACGAAGGTCTGGAAAAAGTATTCTTTGCTTGCACACGAGGGTCAGATGAGTATAATCTCTCTGGAATCTAGAGTTTACCTTAGCCGTTACAGTGGAGTTAACTTTATTGAATCCTATTTCCATCAACTGGAATGATACAACCAGCAACAACGATTCATTTATTATATGGACAATGGTGTTTTACTGGAAAGTGGAAACTAAAACACTCGTCACTACATCTGGGACCAGATGCGCGTATTTTCCGTATTTCCCCCCATAGTATAGCTCAGTGATTTCACCCCTGCGAGTGACATACGAAGTTCGAAAATTTCCCGCCATTTTCATTGTTGTTGTTTTGAAAATACAAATGGTCTTTGGTTCGTATATAAAACGAAATTAACGTTGGAAATAAAACGAAAACATTTAAAAGACATCTTGAGATAAGTAAAATGTATTAAGTCCATATAATAAACAGGGGCCGGTTGTATAAAAAAGTGATTAAAGTTAAATATGATTAAGTGCAAACGTCATCCAGTAAGAAGCGCCTATTTGAGAGTTAATCACTATTTAACTACAAAATAGTGATTAAAAAAGTGATTAAGAGTTTTATACAACCGGCCCCAGAACATTAAACGGTTGCGAGAAGATATGGATTTACGTTCTCGTATCAAAAACAATATCTTAACAATATCCACTCGAACATAAAATCCATATCTCATCGCAACCGTCTATTATCCTCTAGCTATATATAGTTTTTGTTTGTTTTAAAAACCGACCAAGCTGGCCTTGATAGTCCAATAAGCTGGTCGAAATAAAGGATGTAATGTTTCAAATCTGAATATGCCGAGCAATGTAACCAAAATGTAACCAAAATAAGAGAAAAAAGAAAGAAGAGCAAATTTAGAGAGAAAGAAATAAAGCAATATGGTTCTCAGATATATTTTTGAAAAAACAATTTGCTTCAGTTTAAGCCCTTTAACTATTAACGCAAACTTACATTTTCCCCTAAAAAATCAGCCTTTTGCATGCTTAATTATTAATGCTTTGCCTAATTTGCATATGTCGGCAATATGCAAATTAGGTAAAGGCATTAATTAAGCATACGTTTTTAGGAAAAAATGAATAGTTCAATGCTTAAACTAAATTTTGTACAGTAATTAAAAACCCAACAATTTTTCCATCCATTAACTCAAAATACGATCATTAAAGCTTTTAAATTTTGTGCGCAAGCCATTTTTAGTTTGTTGGAAAAAAACACCCCCTGGTTTCAAAATTTGAGTTCGAGTATTTTTTTTCATTATTCTACATTATGGGTACTCAAGGAATCTATCTATAACAAAAGCTTGATACTACAAGCTGTTTTGCGAAATTGAGAGCAATTTCAAATCTGTTCAGATTTTTTTTATACACCCTGTAGAATTGTTAACCTCAATCCATATAATGGAAGGCGTAATTTCTATATAGAATATTTACCGCAACAACATGTGGAGATGAAGCAAATGACATTCTGCTTAAAGATCCAGATGAACTTTTGAAATGAATTTCCTTTTCATCATTTGTTTCACCTTCAACTATTTCCGTCATTCCTACAGATATTTTGATATTTTCAATAGAGTAACCTTTTCAGAATTAAGGGACGCCGTTCCACTTATCATTTAATGAGTGACTACCGTACTAGTCTCATGTAGTTATTCCTTGTTTCTTGACGTTATAGGTTTTTGAAATATAACTTTTTAATTTTGGGGAAGTGCTTCAGGCCTGTTGTAGTTGTTTTTGTTGCAGTTGTTTTTGTTGCAGTTGTAAAAATTTTGTTGCAGTTGTTTTTGTTGCAGTTGTTGTTGTTGTTGCAGTTGCAGTTGTTGTTGTTGTTGTTGTTGTTGTTGTGATCGTTGTTATTATTGTTGCTACTGCTGCTGTCGTAGTTGATATTGTTGTAACTGCCGATGTTGTTGTTGTTGTTGTTGTTGTTGTTGTTGTTGTTGTTGTTGTTGTTGTTGTTGTTGTTGTTTGGAGACAATAGTAAAGACACATGCCTCATTGTGATATTGCTTCTTGATTGTAGATGCATGTTTGTTAGTCGTTCTATCATCGTATTAATCTAAAAAATTACCGAAATTGTGTGCGAGCATAAGCGCAACAGTTTTACTTTCTGGTTTAAAACGAATAAAGCCACTTTCCCAATGCATCGGCTTCGTATGATTAATGTCCCAACTGCTTGATCTAAAATAGAATTGAGTGAAAATTCAGTCTTTTGGACGTCCTGTACGGGAGAGTAGATATTTTCCCAAAGTACGTTTCTTTTTTGAAGCTTAAGACAAAAAAGGAAGAGAGAGAGAGAAAGAGAGGGGGTCATATAGATAGGAAGATAAAAGAGTTTGCGATGTTCAAAGAATTAAAGAAGTCAAATAGAGAAGTCAAGCTGTGCATCATTGAGGTAATCAGTTAATAAAATGTTGTCTTGTGCGCCGCATTTCTTAGTATAATGTCACCCTTATAATAACGGTGTTTCACAAAAATCGAATCAGCACCACTACCAACTTATACAGCATCCTGTATGTACCATGAACACACGACGTGGAGAAACAATGCAAAACATGTTCATACTTGCAGTAATAAATTTACATGCATGGTCATGGTGTTTCCACAAACAAAAGTGTTAACGGCTTATTGAACGAGCGTGAGGTCTGTACTGTGAAATATCAGACCGAGGTTTTTTAGTATCGACCGAGCGACGAAGGAGCGAGGTCCATGCAAAAAACAGAGGTCTGATATTTCACAGTACAGACCGAACAAGCGAGGTCAATAATTGGTTTATTATATGGCTGAACTGAGTCTGTGAGCATATGCTTTTCGCGCGAATTAAATCGGCTATCGTCAGTTTCACTGGGTAACAATATACGGTAGGCATGCATGCTCAATCAAAAACAATTTGGTTGTTTGAAATTTTTATCTGTAATGACACACAATTGGAAAATTAAAAAGCAAAAATCTTTTCTGTTTGCAAAGCAAAATTATCCCGCCAGATAAACGACATCCGGGACACCGGTCCAGATACGGAAAATACGGACCACGGTCTGGATATGGGTTTTTACGGACCGCTTGTCAACCAATCAGAATAGCCATATAATAATATGTTTTATCGCCATGCAAACCTACAAAGAACTTATGTTCATACTTGTAATTTATAAATGGGATTCCATCATTTGAAAATTCAACTTCTTCAACGTATTCAAAAGGTTTTATTGTCGGGTAAGTACCACATCCTTCTCCCTTCCACTTGCCAATCAACCACGAAAGCTGGAAGAAACAGAAATGAGATGCCATGTACTGTAAACCATTTATTAAGCTTTTAAGCCGGCCCTGTTAATAAGCCACTTTTTTTGGATGAAGCAACCCAATAAGTACCCATCTCTATTAAGCACCTCCTTCCAATACTGCCACCCGGAAAACAAAGAAACACGTGTGCATTAATTTGATTTATCAATTTGCCTGGCAGTTTACTTTTTAATAATTAACTGCGTTTCGTAATTATACTGCGTTTTGGCAAAATCAAAAAAGTCCCCCTCTCTCCCTGAGTCCCTCTACTGTTTTTGTACATATAATCTAGACACAAAGAAAGGGTTAGGGCAATGTCCAGGCAGTGAACTCTAATAAGACTGGAACGATAACTCAGGTAAACATGCCCATACTTGCCTGAAGCCAACCGTGCAAGGAAATTGCACTTTTAAAAGGACTAAGGAGAGTTTCGAGGAGTGGAAAATTCAGTCAAAGTTTATTTTCGACGAAAGAAAAGTCGTTTTTCATCAAAAGACTTCAATTTTAAAAACGCAAATACGATCTATTTGATAGTTAGAACTGCTTTGCATCCTACAACAGCAAAAGTTTGAAGGGTATCAGGTTTGTTTTCATAAAAACGACACTAGTTGAACGTGCCGAAGTGAACTTTGCTCTTTAACTAAAAAAAAACAACTTTAAAACATAAGTCTACGGACCAATACCTTTTTTGTATTAACGTCTAGGTATAGTTGTTTATTTTGAGTGCTTTTTGACTTCTCTAAAACGTGAATAAATCGATTTATCCGTAGAAATCCCCCGTGATTTGCGATTTGTGATTTGGCGCCCGGCCAAGTTCGCGCGCTGTGACTTTCAAAAAAGAACTGGGGAGAGTTAAATTTCCTCGTAATTTTGTTTTTTTAGCAAAAATACACCGAAAAATTAGGTTTTTCGTCCGAAGATTTCAATTTCAAAGATTCAAACTTGGTTTTCGGATAGTTCTAAGTATTCTACATCCACTAACAGCAAAATCTCGAAAGGTACCATTTTTGTATTCAAGAAAATAACAAAATATTTTCCGTGCCGAACAAAATACGACTTTCAGGTACACAAAAAATAACGTTAAGTCTTTTCTACGGCTTCCAAACATGATTTGTGCAATAGTCCAAGTATCGTAGATGTTTTTAAGCTTTTTACCTATGTTCTAGCATAGCTAGAAAGGCAGAAATCCGAGTTTTTCGAAGAGGTGTATTTTCGACGCCTACCGTCCATGGCGGCCTTCAATTTGGCTTCAAAGATGGCGGCCGAGTTATCGTTCCAGTCTTATTAGAGTTCACTGTGTCCAGGCCATAGTCATTTGGAGCTGGAATTATTGAAACAACGGCTTCTGCTCCTTCGTCTCTTTCCGATGAGGCCGTACCACCAGCAGTTAGTTTAGCTTCTCTCTTTTGTTTGGCGATAGATTTCTTAGCTCGAGACTTGATATTTTCCCAGCATTTTTTTATTTGTTTATAATCACACTCACTTACACCCGCCTGATAATTAAACTCCTCTGTTAACGTTTCCCAAGCGCTATTTTTTTGCTTAATCATTTTGTGATCATTCCTTTTACTCTCAAGGACATCTTTGTGACAACTAATTTTCTGATGATTGACTTCTCCAATTCTGAAAAATACTGCCTGGGTTGGGACATCTTGCTCGTCTGTACTTTATGTGTAATGTGTCAAAATATACGTCTGTCCTCCGTATTACTATGGACAATCCAGAAGACATCCAGAAGACAAGATGTCTTCTGGATTGTCTATGGTATTACACTGTAACTGACAAAGGCGAGTTCAACTCCAGTAGTCGACAGTTGAGACTTGACTGCGCTTGGTGAATACAAATCGCAGGGTTTTTTTTAAGAAAAATTTATAACTGCACATTTTATCTTTGCGGCATACCCAATGGCAATGGTTTCAACAAGGTCAATAATGTCGGATCTTGGGTAACAATACAACTGGCAGCTTTAATTTGTAAACTTGTTATTATAAATCATTGATGGAAAGTTATTAAAATATAATAAACAAAATAAATGCCAGTTATTGACAAATGCAGTAATTTAATTAGTTTTTGTTAATAATGGTAGATAAAGTACATAAAACTATATAATAGTCAGTTCACTCAACTTAAGACAAGTATTTATAACCCAATAAATCAAGAATGAAGAAATAATTTCGCATAAATATCCTCAATGATTGAGATGTCAACAAATAAATATATTTATACTATAATTCTATAAAAATTCACCAGCTACCTTATCCGATCAAGCAGGAAATATAGCGTTATTTCTGAATTCCAGTGAACACCACTGTTTCAAATTCCATTCGTTTTACGCCGATACACATATTCTTTGGGGTTCGAAAAGCATGTCTCACAACGCACATAGTGGCGACCATTCTTGTGTAAGTGTTTCAGATTATCCTCTTTTGGCTCTTTAGTGTTTTTCTCTGATGTCTTTGCAGTTTCACTTGGTCCTTGATCCTCATTATTCATTATTATTAAATGTTAAGTTTATATTCGCGTCGGATGTTTTTTCAATGTTGAAAAAGTTAAAAAGGCGCGAACAATTCTGCGCCTTTGTATTTACGTGTCAGCAGCTTACCACGGGAATCCTGTCTAATCCAATCATATCTATGAATCCAATCTAATCACAACCAGCTGTACACATATATCCTATTTATACTTGTAATATCCCATTGATTCCCTCTAAAACAAACATGGCGGTGAAAAGTTGCTCAAGAAAATTAATACAGGATTACAAATCCGAAATATTTAATAAAGCGAACGATGTCGTCAAGATTTTCAGCAGGAAAGCTAAACTTCCAGCGATTGCTCAAGAACCGGGGACTATATACCGTAAAAGCGTCGTTTCTGACCATCTGAACAGCGAAATTCATCGCGAAGCAAAAAAGACAAAGAGATTGTTGTCTTTGAAAGGACCGGAAAAGCTTCATATGACGTCATTGACACCAATTGGAAGGGCATTATCGATCGCAGATGCACAATTGGCTGCGAAAGTTGCTAGCTTATTTTTTCACGTTTACCATGGTGATAAGAGACTTACTTTGTCTGCCAATTCTTTCCCTTCACGTGTGGTTGTAAGCCGAATAGCAAATGCGTTTTCTTTTGATGATTGGAGTATAAACGGCATGCCTAATGATCTCCAATACCTTTCACCAAACGCACACAGCGAATTCCTCAAATGCATTGTAAAGACAGATAGAAATTCACTTGCTTCAAAGATGTCAAACTCGTTGGCCATCTCCTTAAGATGTGACGGATCGGTTGATAGAACGCAGATAGATAAGATATATTTAATGGCTAAGGCCATATCTAGAGACGGAAAAGAAAACAATATCTTTCTCGGCGCGGGAGAGCCAAAAGAAAGAGGAGCAGTTGGGGTTCACAAGGCTATACTTTCGGCATGTTCAGGAACCCTTGGCGAAAATACCGAAGGTGAAGAAGAAGCTTTGTTGACTCAAAGCAAGAAAGTGTTTCAACGTGCTTCTTCTTTTGTTACTGATGGTGCATCAGTAAATACTGGAGAAAAAAATGGTCTTTGGGCTTTGATTGATCGTGATTTCAACCTTCCTTTGGGCGATGAAGTACCAACACCGATGATAAAAATTTGGTGCGCTGCTCATCGTTCGCAGCTGGCCTGGAAATCTGTCACCAATTCAGGAAGTAAGCCATTTAATTCAGCAGCTTTCAAGCATATCCACATTTTTCCATGCATCTGGCATCCGGACACGTGAACTTATTGATGCTGCAAATGCTGAGGGCTGCTGCGTGTTATCATTACCTCGTGTCTTCGAAGTTCGTTGGACAGAATTCACATCGTCGTTAATAGAAGTGGTCTTGAGATCTTGGCGTGCTCTTGTTACCTATTTCAAAAAAAGTAATGAGAAAGAAGCTGCAGGTTTCTTGTCTTTTTTAACCAAAAAAAAAACAATCTTGACCTGCTGACCTTCATTGCAGATTTGCTTTCTGTATTTTCACGATACCAGCAACAACTACAATCGGACTCTGCAACACTAATTGACATGGACAGATACACATCCAATGTGAAGGCAAAGGTGTTAGGATTAAAAGAAACGGCTCTCCTCGGTGGATGGGTTGAAGCTCTAAGCGAGCAAGTTTCAGAGGAAGAAGATGGCACCGTTTCTTTAAGGGGAGTCGAATTAAGCAGTGGAAATGCAAGGCGCCGTCGACACATTCATCATCTTTACGTCACTGATACAAGGGACATTGATGCAATTAAGAATGAAATCATCGAGTCTCTGAAAGAATTTTTAACGCAAAGGTTTTTGGACCAAGAAGATGACATTGATCTGTTAAAGCCATTTGTAAATTTACAACAGTCAGTGGATTTGAAGGAGGTCCACAAGCAATTCTTCAAAGATCTAGACTTAATGGAACTTGGTATGGAATATGATGATGTTCTTAGCATGGAAGATATAGAGCATTTCAGAAAGCTATCACTTAGGGAACGATTCCAAAGGTTTGTCCAGTCCGAAGAGCTGCCTAACCTCAAAGTTGCATTTGCAAGGATTCTTGCAGCCAAGCCACATAGCGCAGATGTAGAACGTCTGATCAGCTGCAGTGTGGCACTGAAGTCTTCTGGTCGTAGTCGAATGCTCCTTGAAACCGAAAACCTCAATTTGTATGTGCATTATAACATGCCGTCGTTGGATCAGTGGGATCTCAAGGGAATATTCTCGGAAGCTGCGAAACTCGAAGAGAAGTTGGCAGATTGTGAAGAGGAACCAGCAAAGAAAAAAAAGAAAACATTTTAGTTTAAATTTGCTATAAGAAAACTGAAATAAATATTCTGATACATATACTGCTTTTGTTATTGAAGCTGTATTCATTCCATT